CATTGTTACTTTGTCTATTTTTAATAGCTCCTAAATGTGCTGCAGTAGCTTTTGATGACTGTTTCTTAGCTTTAAGCAGGAGGTGGGGGGAACCAACATCCTTCAATAGCAGTTTTATCATCCTAATGCTTTTAGCAGGAAGCTGTAAGAGGATGAAATGGGATTGGAGAGTTATACGAGTAACAAGAATATCCAGAGTTGTTATGGCAAGGATTTAAAAGCACCCCAGAGTTTTGGAAAGGATGTAAGCCTCTCACGCTTGGGGCATCAGCCAATCTGATGGGAGTGAGGAAGGAACGTTAGCAGGTTTTTCTAGCAGGTTTTTCCATCTCTAATAATAGCCGAGTGTTTTGCACCTTCTGAAGGATTTTCTATAAACTCCTGTCTGAGCCCGATGTGAACCACTGGTCTGATCTAGTATGGAAGTTCCTCTGTTCTTAATTACTTGGGCTTGGTTTTCTCTCGCTTGCACTAGGTTTAGGCTGGAATAAAACCTTTGAGGAATTACTCCTAAATTATCCTGCCGGGGCCAGAGTAGAGTCCAACAAAACTTTCATTTCCACTGCCCAATGGCATTCAGCTGTTGTACTGTGCTCTTGACCTGAGCACAGGAACCCAAAACATCAGTGGGAATTTGCCACGAGGGTCAATTATTAAACAGAATATAACTACAGCACTTTCAGTTTTGCTGCTAGTGATGTCTAGGCATCATGCTGACCCTCAGTTCCAGGATGAAGGTCACGAAAAAAAACCCCAAACCCCCAGGACTTGATATTAAAAGTGGGTTGTCAGTACTCCCCTTCAGTTGTGGTGCTTCCGAATGGAGCCTGATGCACCTGCTTTCCTATTTTAGAGGCTAGCATTCAACCAGACTATTTTTAATGGACAAAAGAATCATACACAAGGCTTTTGCTTTATTAGGATAATTAAGAAAAGGGCCTGGTGAGAGAGGATACAGGCGCTGAGCCTGCAAACTGCTACCTTTGTGAGGAGCCACATTCATGTTCGCTGACAGTGGGACAGTGGAAAGGCTCCACGGACCGCAGCAAGCTTTAAACTTGACCCGGCGTGCACAGAGTTGCTCCTCTGGATTACTGATGAATTAGGTTGCTTGCTTTTAAAAGGTCAATTTTTCCAGGCATTTTTAAAATTTTATTTTAGTGGCTTTATTTCCCTTTTCACCATATATTCACATTGTAGTCACTTTTTTCCCCCTTAAAATTTGGCTGCCAAAGCAAGGGGGTGCCCATTACGTGCACCTGAGGGCACAGCTGAGAAACTCACTTATAAAAGCTGTGATACTGTATTTCAGTGTCCATCTCCATCTCCCAAGATCTTCTAACTTAAATTGAATGTGGAATGGAAGAACTGTCCCACGCGGTGTAGGCTTCCTGCATTACTTTCTTCAAAAAAGCACAGCTTCTAAGAGGGCTGTCATTTAAATCTGTTTCTTTAAAAGCTGTGGGTGGTGATATTATTATTTAATAGCATTCAAATATTCAGGGGGGACAATTATTACCCAATACTTACGGTACCATGTTGCTTATTCTTTTTTCTGCATTGACAATTAGATCGGTGCGAGGGCTTTGGATAACACTTTTGACATAGTAGTGATGAGTCTCCTGCCTACACTGGCACTGGCTCTTGATCAATGCATAGCTAACTTATCCTGGGGCATGGAGAAGCATCAGCAGCCACGGAGGATGTTAAACGCTCTCTGTCACCTGGCAGCTCTTTGCTGGTGTCCAGAGCTGGTGATGTATTGTCCATTTTTTCAGTGGAAATGCCTATTTGCAAACAAATAAAAAAAATCCCAAAATTGATTTTGCAGAACGAAAAAACAGCTTTCAGCCTTGTCCTTCGTGGTGACCCAGAGTTTCTGCTGCAAGAAAAAGGACAGAGGAAGGGATTACTTCAGGGGTGGGAAATTATTTGGGCTGACGGACCACTTCATGAGTTTTGGTCACCTATCGAGGGCCACACCTGTCCCTCTCCCTCTCTCTCCCCACTTCCCCCTCCATCCCTCTCTTCTGCGAGTGTGACCAGTGTGGAAGCCTGAACCCACCCACAGCTTTAGCACACCCGAGGCCGGACCTGGCAGCTAACAGCCATGTCCACAGGTGCCCAAACGTGGCTGGCAGCTTCTCAGTCAGGGCTCCAGGCAAACGGGGAGGAGAGGGGCAGGGGGCATGCTACAGCAGTGGGCCATGACCAGTGCAGATGCCTGAAGCTGCCTGCAGCTGTAGCACATCCTGCCACCCCCCAACCCCAGATGCCCAATTCACAGTTCGGGAAGCTGCCGGCTGCATTTGGGCAGCTGTGCATGTGGCTGACGGCTACCAGGTCCGGACTCGAGGGGCAGGGAGGCATGCTACAGCTGCGGGCAGGTTCATGCTTCTATTTCTGTGCTGGTGGCAGCCCTGGCCCAGAAAAAAAGAGCACCCAGCCTGCTGAAAACAGCTCCTGCTGCCTGACACCACCCAGCAGCTGGAGCCACCTCCTGCCTAATCCATTCACTTGGTGGGTACCCTCCCATGAGCCAAATCCAATCAGCTGGTGGGCAGGATCCAGCCCGTGGGCTGTGTTTTGCCCACCCCTGGAGCACTCACACCAGCATATGATCAGGCTGATGGCAGGGACATGAAACCATAGCTGGTTGCAAATAAAAAGTGTAGAATCAGACATGTGGGCTGGTAGAGACCTCTAAAAGGGCCAGCCTCTGACAGTAATTTTTTGAATCTATCCTTAAAAATTTCCCGTGGCAGGAATTTTGCTGCCTTCCTAGGTACCCTGTCCCTGTGCTGAATTATCCTTATTGTCAGAATTTTCCTCCTAACATCTCACCTCTCTTGTTGCAAATTAAGACAACTTTTTTTTATCTTACCTTCAGAGGTTGCAGAGAGAACAATTAATCATCTTTGTCCTTTTTACAAGACCTCTTTACATAGTCAAAGGCTTTATCACATCCCCCTTTCTGGGGGGTTTTTTTCCGAACCTAAACATTCACAGTTCTTTTATCCCTTCCTCGTAGGTCAAGTTTGCTAAACCTCTTACCATGTTTGTTGTTCTCCTCCGAACTCTCTCTAATCTGTCTACATCATTCATGAAGTGTGGTGCCTGCAGCATAAAGTACTCCAGTTGAAGTCCTCCTATAGCTAAGTGGAATTATTACTTTCTCTATGATACTCTTCCAAATGAGATCTGCTTTATTTGCAACAGATTTATACCATTGACTCCTATTCTGATATAGCCCTCAAATTCTTTCGAAGGGTGTTAAATTGCTGTGTACCATCCAACCCTTTTTATGCAACCCAAGCTATGCACAAGAGCACATCTAAATAAAATGCATAGGAAATAGCATCACCCAAATATGATCTACATTTTTGCTGATCAAAGAGGCTGCGGGAAAAAATAATTAAAAAGTAAAAGCCTTATGCAATGAGATTTAAAAGAAAACTTTGGAGGCTGACAGGATGCATCTGGCACAACTTCAAAGTCCATCAAAGAACATATAATCAATGTTTGTCAATAGCAGTTTTCTATCCTTTAATTTATCTTTCATGGATATAAAGCATGATGTTATTAGGATCCAGTCCATACGTTAATTCTGTTTGAGATTTGATGAATCAGGTCCCTATTAAAATTCAGTGCAAATCAGCTTACTCAAGGACACGTTACATAAAGCCATCCATTATCCAATTCCTTTTATCTTGCTGTCTTTCTAACTAGTTAAAGAATCTTGAATTATCTTAAACTTCTGTATGTGACCACCAACATGCAAATACACCTGCATATTGCTGTGTGTGTGTCTAAGTATTATATACATATTTGTTGTATAATATTTAGACGTATATTGCATTTTATACATTGTATAAAATCATATTGAATGTTATGTTACTATTATGTATAATAATTTAGTATGTACATTATTTCTCAATTCTGTATGCATGTGTAAGCATCTGTACACACAAACAAACTACATTTATATATTTGGGTTGCAAAGTCAAATGCTTGTATGTTAAGCAATGCCAGAATTAAGGTTGCTTGCAAAGCTTTAATTCAGCCTTCTGTGCATATACGTTATGATAGCCTTTAATATGTGACCAGAGGATGGATGCTGACCTAATGAGCACCTATTCAATATTTTCTTTTTTCCCCTTGTTGAGCAATAATTCTGTTGCAAAGAACCGAGAAAGACAACAGATCAGAGTTTTTAACACTACAGGTTCCTATCTTGTGAGTCGTGGTTGCACAGCTAAATGCTAACATTGTGTGGCACCCTGCAACACCCTTGAAAGTATCTCAAGGCACCCTGGTTAAGAATCACTGCCATAAGCTCTTTGTGGTAGGGACTATCTTCTTAGAAGTCTTTACAATTCACAGCTTAATGGGCGCCATCATCTCAGAAGGGACTTCTAGGCATGACCATAACATAATGATTCCAGCTTTTGTTAGTCCCAAGTCAGTCAACATACACAGCTTTAATGCCCCTTAGTGCATCTATACATGCGTTAAGGCGCTTTAGCTATTCACACCTAAATTTAGGCACAAATTTAGGCACGAATAGCCTAAAATCGCATTTTTAAGGTGCATTACCTACATGTAGACCTGTGCCCTTAATGTGCCTTAAAAATAGCTAATGCACCTTAAATTGGCATGTGTAGACATGCCCTGTAAGATAGTACTGTCCCCGACTATCTTATGGCGGAGTTGCTTAGTTTACTGCACCTTAATATCAATGCACGTGTAGATAGTGATGCTTTACAGTCCACTACACAGTAAAGCACATGTGTCGATGCAGCCTGAGAGTCACTGTTTTGACATGTTTGCCAGTTGTCAAGTCAGGATCAGCTGGACAGGATTCAGAGGTAGCAATTTTTCAAACAAGATAGTCTGTTGACCAAGCATTAACTATTAAGCAATATTGGAGGCATAGTTAATTATTTGCATTGGATAACTCACTTTTTAACCATTATAGATTGACTGGGGGGAGGTGAGGACATAGACAACAAATGAAAACTCATTTGAGGAAAACATTGGGAGTGTAAGGATGGTTAACAGTGTTGTGTCCTTTCAGTTTTTTCCTGTGATCATTTTGCTGGGGAATGCACCTTTCTGTGTAAGTATACTTCAGCTGTATGCCTCTATAGCCACGTTCAGTTATTTGCAGAACTGTTACCCATTGCTTACAAAGATCAGCTGCGTGTCAGGGACTAAAAATACTGGTTAGCCTAAATACAAATCCACTGGAATACTGTAGATCTAAAAATGTGAAACCCTCAAGCATTACTGAGATGGCATCTCATGTAGGCGAGTCTCCAGGGACGAGTGGACAGAGAAGAAAAATGTAATAAGAATGTAAGTTGAAAGATGGAGCAGTGTCAGAATATGTCTGGAGAGTCAGTAAAGAAGCAGGGGGGTGACATCAAGTCTAATAAACACTGTGGGTCAGATCTCCCACTGGTGAAAATCTGTTACAAAATGCAGTAAATATTTGACAATGGTTAAACAGTTTTGCCTTGTTTCCTCAGAGTCCCTTGACCACCAACCTGTCTGTATCCACCTGTTATCTTAAACTGTAGGTCTTAGAAGGCAGAAACCAGCTTTATTCTGTGTTTGCACAGCACCTGTGGGCCCACAGGCCCACATGCTGCATTATTAATAAATAAGGATGTCAACTTGGTGGTCAATGTTCTTCTGTGCATCATCCATACCACGGTTTTCACTAGGAGAGCATGTATATATTACTGTGTATTCTGCTCAGTAAAGACATGTTCAAAATCAGCTTGTTTAGTTTGCCCTCATACCCGACAATCCAGAACAACTAGATCCAATTGATCTAGTATTGACTCCTCCTTTATTTTTATTGTTATGATTATTATTCATATAAGCACAAATAGCATGAGTCCATACATAGGGGTTCTGTGCCATGTATTTAATCAGATGCTGCTTAGAAACCTGCAAGTCTCTGTTCCCTATAATACAAAAACCATACAAATTATGATATGTGGTCCTCGTAGCTGGAAACCTTCATCATTTCAGAGGGTTTTTGGAGAAGGACTCATGAAACATGCAGGGTTGCATGGGTGTTTGGTGGTGTTTGTGTATTGTTAAACAAAACATTGGACTTTGTTTAAGCTAATCCTGGTGAAGGTTAGTGTGTTTTGAAATTGCGGTGTTAGTACAGTGTCATGGGATACACATGTTCATGACTTAGCTAAACATCCCATATGGTTAGTGATACATCTTGGACTTTATGGGGAGGAGACAGCTTTAATAAGAGGATAAATGAAGAAGTTCTGTTTGACCATTTTATTTAAGGAGATAAATACAAAGGCAGCCAGTTCAGTGCTTTTGTTAAGAAAGAGTCCCGCAATGCCATCTAAGGCCACATGAAATGAAAGAGTGGATGTTTGCAACAAAAAAAAGGCAAAACCTTATTGACTTTGCCTATTCTTATGAAACCACCTCCCATGTGATGCAAAGAGCTTAGCAAGGGTTGTTTTTTATTGTTGTTTTGTTTGGTTTGGTTTTCCATATATAAGGCATTAGGGTCTGTTCTTTTTGACTTGGCTGACTTTATTCTTGGTCAGACAGCAAGAAGTGAAAATGGCAACCAGCATTACAGTGGTGACAATGGGAAGACAGGGCTCTCAATCTGGATGCTTCACAGAGTAAGCCATTCATCGGCAGGGGTTCAAAAAGAAGTCTTCCTTCTGCAGTCCAGGAGTGTTGTTGGTGCCTTAGGAAGGATGAGGTGTCTTCACAGGGACTGCTGTTATGGAAAGGATTTAAGTACTCAATTATGGGCCAATGGGATGTCTGAACGTGGCTGTTTTGCAGGCTTACACAAAAACAGCCAAATCCACCCCGGTCAGATAGTTTGTGCAATGAAGTGGTATCCAAAAAGGGATTCGGTTTTTAAGTGAGGTATCAGGCTTGTGAGGGTCTTCAGCAAAGGAGTGAATATCAACCAGAAAGCATCATAGATTAATGTGGTACGTTGGGATTAGTTGCTGATATCTTGAGAGGTAGGAGCATTTTACCAGGCAAATGATTGCATTGATTTCAATGGGGATAATTGTGGGCAAAAGGTCTGTTTATTTTTCATAAATAAGGTATTTAGCTTTGGTACCATGAATGAACCACCCGCCAGATATCTCCAGAGTTACTAAGACAAAGTTCCTCTCTGTTAACAAACCCCAAAATTTTACATCTCCAACGTCAGGAGGAAAAGGTTAATAACAATATATTCAACATGGCTAGGGAGCACCGAATCACTGGTGTATCACAACTCTTTCAGATCTATACACTCTGCCCTTAAATAAAATGAAATAATGACTTGGAAGAAAAGGGCACATCTACACATGACGCTACATCGCTGTAGCAATGCACTACACTGATGTAGCATACATGGGTGTCTACTCATGCCCAGCAGCTACTTTGCCGTAGCAGCATGCTCCCCCATTATAGTGTGCCGCTATGCCAAAGTAGCTGCTAAAAATAACCGTGCATTCGGTGCAGTATGGGCAGTTAACCATGCACTGGGCATATGGCACAGTACGGGAGGCTACTGAGCCATGCTTTAGTACAGTACTTCCAAAAGCACGGCACAGTAACAGTGTCGCCATAGTGCAATGTGTAGATGTGCCCAAAGAGTAGTTAAAAGTAACTGTTAAAAAAACACTTCTGCTCCTCCAAGCACTTTGATCATGTAGATTTTCTTATGAAAGGTTTTCGATTTTTCCTTCTGCTTTTAATAGTTTGCACAATTTCATGTTTGTTGCAATTCATTCCGAAATTCTAGATGTTGACACATTTAAATTGAGTCCTCTGGGAGAAATATATCAAGATACCCGTGGAGAGTGTTATAATTTTTTTTTCGAATGGAGTCAAGGGTGTGTTTTTGACCCGACTGGTGAATTTATGATCAGTGATTTTGCACAACACAATAGGGTTTTTATTAATTGGTGCATCATTAGGACTATCCGTCCACCAACCACAATGGATACAGCACACTTGATCCACACGTGCATTTGACAACGTGCTGGGGGATCAATACTATGGTGTGCCTATGACTGTTTTGTAGATGTGACAACACAATCAGATCTAAGCAAACTCACAACGAATAGGTTGCCTTAATTCCAGCAATTCCAGCGTGGCGAGCAGAGGTGGACTCCTAGCCCAACTTCAAATCTCTTACAAATTTTCCTAACTACTCTTAAATAGTAGATCCGTTAATTAGCATTGACAGTTTTAATCCCACTTCCCTGTAAACATCACTAAGGAAAATAGACTATGTATCTCCACCCCTGAAAAGTCATTAACGTTTCTAAAATGCAAACGCAATTCTGCTGTCACTGAAAAGCAGCACGACAGAATATTCAGCAGGCTAGTTTTTAATAAAACATGTTTTTTCTTCATAATTAATATAACAAGTTTTTCTGGCTTAGCACTTGGCATGAATCCCAGAGAAAAAAAGGGATGGATTGCTGTGACGTGACCATTACATGACAAACATGTTACGAGAGGACATTTTTGCCTTAATGATTTGTTCCAAAAAAAAAAAAAAAAAGAGGTTGCTCTGAAAATAAGTGGAGTCAAAAAATAATGGACTTGACACTCCTGCTGAACTCAGAGAAAAAGTTAAATTCAGGTTTTCTCTCTCCCTCCTTCCCTTTCCCCACCTCTTCTTTTTTAATTTTATTAGTTTCTGGTTTGAGGAGCTTTTATCCATTTACTTTATCCAATCATTAAATGGCTTCTGCTATATTTTAATAATAACCAAAGAATATTTTAGACATCAGATCTCACCGCATCGGTCAGCAACTAACACAATTCCCGATGCGTGTAGGCCAAAATTCTCCTGTGAGTTCAGTTCAATTTTACCTGAACAGAAACCAGTTACACCTGTGTAAACACAAAGATCCCACCAAAAGGCCCTGAATTACACCTCTTGGGGAAAAGAAGTCCATCCTTAATATCTAAACTCGACAAAAATAAGACCGTAAATATGCCCACTTTATTTATCTCCCGCATATTTGATAGCGGACTGTGAATTAAAATATAGAATTAAGATTAAAAACCCCACTCTTTGGTGTGTATCAGGGATCTCTCTAATGGCTGAACCACAGGGGACACGCATTTACTGTAACTACCCATGAAGTCCCCATGGTCAGTCTTGTGTGACAGCTCTTCCTGATGGCTGTTGCCCTTGTCAGCAGAGCACTCTGATGAAGTGAATTTGTGCTCCTGGTCTGAGCAAGGCACGGTGTCATTCGCATACTGGGGTGTGCTCTAGTGTGTCCTAAAACAAATCGCAATATAGAGGAATGTGAATTGTCAAACCAGCATCGATCATGGTCAATCAAGCCCAACATCTTTTCTCTATGGCACTGGCCTAAGCTTAACTGATGCTAGGGAAAAGCAAAAAAAAAGCCTTCATAGCGCCCCTAGCTAATTGTGCAATGCTTTATCGTAGAAGGAAACATTCCTTTCTGACCCCTGAAGGCAATCAGCTTATGCCCTGAAGCACCAGGGTTGATATCACTGGTAACTAAAGGGACTTTAATGACACTGCATAAGCTTGAAGTCTAACAGCATAACCTCCGTTCTTAGCACAGCCTGAAAAAGTGTTTGATGATGCACAGCACTTGTGTTAGGTGATAGGATCTGTAGCCCTGTTGAAACAGATTGTGTAGCTTCTTCCTCTTCTCCTGGCTCCTGAAATGCAGCCCAATTTCCTCGTGAGAGCACAAATCCACCTGCTCAACAACGGAGCCACTTCCAAAGCGACCACACATTTCCACACGGGTTCTCAAAGCATGACGATCAACTTGCAAACCTAAATCTCTTGCAATACAGTAGCCGGCAGCCCACAACCAGACACTCTTTTCAGTAGTGCCTCCAATAGCTCTCTTCTCAGTCCCAAGGGACTCCCATATCAGATGCTAAAGCAAGAAAAGGTTTCCACTCAGTAATTATGGAAATAAAGACATTAGGCAATTTCAGCTGTGGATGTTCTGAAACCAGGCACATGTTCCCTCATCCCCTAAGGCAAGCAAAGCGATTCCAGCATGGAAATCCCATTGCAATAGAGTTGCTTGACTTTTCTGCTCA